TCTCCTGCACGTGCTCTTCCAGCGGGTATTTCAACGCGGGGAAGGGGGCTTGGGGCCAGTCAAAGGCCGGGATGTCGAGTTTGTGGATGGGCTTGCTGCGAGTAGTCGACAAGCTGCCAAAGAGACGGCCATGGAAAGCCGACTTGAACGACATGATGGACATGTTGGGCGAGCCGGGGCTCTGGTTCAGCATGGCCGACGTGGTGTCTGCGTCGGAAAAGTCGACGTTGGCGCCGCCTCGCTCCTGCTGGCGACGGTACATGAATGCAGCCTTGTACGCGGTCTCGTTGGCATCGGAGCCGGCCAGTGCGGTAAACACCTGGTTGAGCCCCTTGGGAGCAGCCCGGAGAAGGCCGGTCTTGAGGATGTTGGACCAGTCGGCAGAAGGGAAGTTTCCCAGCGCCGGTCGGTCGATGAGGGCGCGCACCATTTCGGGTGTATTGACCGCCGCAGCTAGATGAGGGTTGTTGTATCCAACGGGGATAGAGGCAATCTGGGCATACACATCGAGCAGCACGTTGCCGTCGAGGTCCACAAGACTAGCTTCGAGTCAGCCGCATTGTTCTTTTCTCTTCCATTGTACTTATAGACGTACTAGTTTCCAACCGACTTGGAGTAGTCGGCAAGCAAGTTCAAGCTGCGCACGTCAAAGACCTCGTCGAGCTCCTGGGCCGCGGCCGTGTTCTTGGGGCCGGGGATCGCGGTCTGCACCGAAGGAGCCGCAGGCTCGTTGGCAAAGAAGGGCTGCGCTGCGCGGCGGGCAGACGAAGCGCTGAAGGCGCGGGCGCCATTGAAGCAGGCAGCAGCAGGCCTGATCTTGAGGCTCGATCGAAGGGCAGAAGTCATTTTCTGAATATCAGTCAGTCATGACGACATAGCTGGCTGATAGCTAGGGCTAGCTTAGCTAGTCACTCAGTCATGCACTCACCGAGACTCAACCTCAATTGGTACAGGTCTAAACAAGCCAGAAAATAGAATCGAATCAATTCACAGGGGAAAATAACAAAGAGTCACAGACCAGAGAAAGGGAAGAGGAATATTTATACGGCTCGTCGATAACCCAGAGCTTGCCCCGCGATAGTGATGCCGGTCGGCGATTTCAGCCAATAGCGGCGGCCGGTGCCAGTGCCGAACGCAAGGGCCAGGGCGCTATGCCGGAACAAGCATGTGTAAGCTGCACCGCTGATGGGATGCGCCGTCCGACGTGCCGTTGAGTTGTCAGATGGAGGAGAAAAAGAAGAGAGAAAAGTGAATATTTTGCAGAACGGCGACCAACAAGATTCTCTCTTAGGGTGTTCTCTTGGAATGTTGGCCGTGGCCAAGTGACTACAGTACTAGATGCGTCTATCAGCCACTGATAAGCGATAAGCTAGCTTATCGGCCGCCTGTGCCAGTCATCGACCATGTAATATGGAATATAGAGAAATCCAAGCCAGGCCTAATAATTCATAGTTAAGCAGTTATGCAGAGTAATATGGTGGTATGACTTGAAAATTAAACTATACATACATCCAAGAAGACAATGTAAAACACAGACTTTTCCCACGACGCCTTACTAAAAAAGAGCCTCCCCGCAAGAAACCAACCCATACGTTAATACAAAATCATACCGCATGTCGAAACGGTGTTTCACCTTCCGACTCAAACCCTCTGATACTGGTCGACCGACTCGACGAGCCCTGTCCATCAATCGAGGCCAACTCATCCGAAATCCGGCCTGTCGGGAAGCGACGAGAAGACGATTGTACAGCTGAATTTCGTTTCTGCTCGACAAAGGTCTCGAGCTCGACGGTGCGCACAATGCCCATAGAGCCCAGAGCTGCGCCTTGGCTGGACAGATCGTCGTGGTCGTCGCCACCACCGGATTTGGACATGACGTGCACGTGTGAATGCTGTGAGCGGGATCCGGAGATCCAGGTCTTGCGTGTCGGCCCGCTTTGGCCGTATGATGTTGCTTTTCCGGTAGAGAGGAAATGGGGCCAGATTATCTTGAGGAGAGGACGGAGAGCGGGGACGGATGCACACAACTGGTGCGATTGTTAGTATAGTTACGGTAGTTATGGTTGAGAGTGGAACATACAATTCCAACATGAATCTCTACAGCCCCGGTCATACCGACCAGCCATGCGTACCAAGTCGAGTCCCAGGTGCCGACCGCATCTTGCCAGACATAGTATGTCCGAACCGAGCCGACAATGTCGACCGAGATGCCCAATCCAAAAATGGCGATCACAGCGAGTCGCTGGCGACGGGGCAGTTTGAGTCTCCATATCAATGGCATTGGCACAACAGTAGTCAAGAGATCCGTGAACAGATTAACCACGCTCGCCGCGAAAACCAGTTTGTTTCCATCCAGACAATGGTGAGAGTAATTCGGGGCCAAGTCGAACGACGCTTTAATTGGGCTGGTGTCTTGTGAGTGAAAAGAAGCACAGTCAGAGGGAGTGGAACGTACATGCAGTTCAAAAAGGTGACAAAGATAAAAGCCAGCGACAGCAGTCCCAAAAACACCATGGACACTATCAAGCTGTAATTCAGGCCGCGAAAGGGACCGCTAATGCCATTGCCCAGGATACGGCGACAGAACCACAGCAGCGAGATCTTGGTCAGCGTGGAAGCCAGCGAGAAGGTGATTTGGAACAGCATGCGGCACTTGAGCGAGCTGGGCATCCATGTCAGGGGAACATCCCAGATATGCCGGTCCCACCCATACCGGGCGTCGGCCAGGGAAGACACGGTGCTCATGGCGATGGCGGCCAGCTGTGGGCGAGTCAGTAATTATACACAAACACACTATGACAGGCCCTAAGAGGTCCTTACAAAAGCAAGGACGGCAAAAATGTCATCCGCGCCCGGGGTAGCAGTGATCCACACTCTCGTATACACTCGCAGTGAGGTCACAATCAACGAAATCGACGACAGCAGAGCGTTGGCCACCAGCAGGCCAGAGCCTCGCGTGAGCGGGTCGACATAATTGGGTTTCGGCCAGGTCGCCATGACACTGGCCGGGGGCAACAAGTCAGCCATGGTGGAAACCGAGGTTGTGTATTTCGAGAGACGAAAAAGTCGACGGGCAGCGACCAGCACCGCACTGGCGATTGAACACGAGCGACTGATCAAAGGCGATGGGCGAGCATCTTTGTATGAGTTTGTTGATTATATTGGTGTATAAGGGGAACGCTGGTTTGCAAAGGGCAGGGGGGTGCGCCATATTTATTAATGCTCATCCGGATACGACGAGGCAATCTACCGAAAGCCAACCAAGAAAATCTAAAATTTGTCCTTTTCTCCGCTCTCCAGGGACCAGGGACGAGACGAGACGAACAAGACGGTCGAATCCGATCGGTCGAGAATCGCCCAGGATCAACAGGCTTCCTGTTCTGGCATCATCGGGTGGAGCCGGCTATTTCGCCGTGCTGGTCCTTCCTTTCCCTTGTTGGGGAGCCACTCCGTTCCCAAGACACGCCTATAGGTCGACCTACCGAGACTGTCCCACGGAAGCTTTGCATTGGTTGCGCTGATTGGCGGATGCTCGCGTGCCTGACAGGGATCCGGCTCTTGAATCCCCGCGCCACGGCCAATGCCGAGCAAGCCCGCTCCCGGCATTTCCAGCTATGTGGGGCGCCCTGCGGTGCACAGACTCAAGTCTAGCCGAATCAGACCAAAGAGCCGATTAGCATGAGACTAATTTTATGGCTTGCGTCTGGCCTCCCATATACGGCAGACGTCCCTGTGCAAGTTGTGTAGGGCTCGCACTATCACGGGACTAGCGAATCGCTTGCTACGCGGCAAAACACCCTGGGCTGTCACTAATTACGTATTATGCTGGTCAACATCGGCTAAACAAACCTCTCGGGGATGCGGATGTTTGCACTCCACCTGTTTGAAAAGTCCATGTGAAGGCAACTTGCAAATTAAGTTTCTTTGCTTGCGAATGCATTATTATTATTATTATTATTATTATGGTTGGGTGATTTAGGCTGATTACTAGTCTTTAGAACCAGGCTGATTAGTGGGATCTGATCAGCAGGCTATTGCCAACTAGACGAGGACAGTTCCCCTATTGGCATCACCTCACTTTTGCAGATAGACCTATCCTGGGACGAAGTATCTGGACAGGCAAACTATTTGGTGATCCAGCCCGGTCGAGTGGCCTTTCCGACCATTTTATTCGTGCCCAGAACAACCGAACCAGCGAGGGCAGAGTCTTGGTAACTTTGATCAGCGGAACCACTTTTACATCCAGTCCACGCCGCAAATCATATCAGCATCGAAGCTCCTTCCCGAGTCCAGGAATGGATGAATGCCCTGTTGGGTGTTACTTGGGGCCTTCTAAATCCCGCAATATGTGCAAGTGTTGCTGATATGATAGGGAATATCATAGTGCCAGGAGTAATTAAGAATGTTCATATTTCTGAAACTGACGAAAGTATTAAAAGTAATAATTTCTAAAATCTTTAGTATCTACTATTGTCACAGCCGCCAGCCGCCGAGGCGCGCATAGGGCCGTGCGAGGTGATCTGGCTCCGCGTAGCTCTAGAGATATATAAGAGCAGCCACCTTGCAAGAGATAGACGAGTAGCGATTAGCGTCGAAATAAGACTAGTGGCACCTTCAAGCTACTTTCCATCCTCCTTTCTATGTGAAATTTGTCTTTTGGCGGGATTTGTTGCTTTTCAGAAAGTACTACCCAGCTGCGAGGGAAAAAAAAAGACCTCCCTGTCGGGGAATCGAACCCCGGTCTATTAAGGATTAGTTTATAGACTTACTAAGGTAAGAGGACAAATATCTTACCTCCCGCGCTTGTTCTGCGTTTGTGCGGATGACAAGCGGAAATCATGACCTAGACGGTGTTAGACATTGCTTAGGAAGCAGTCAGAGAAGAGAGACATACCACTAGACCAACAAGGATTATTGAAAAGGAAATTAAGATTTGTTGCTTTTCAGAAAGTATTACCAACCAAAGGGTTGGAAAAAAAATGTCCAGAAAAAAAGATAATCTCCCTGTCGGGGAATCGAACCCCGGTCTATTAACCGTTAGATATTAGGTTTACTAATGTCGAAGATAAGTTTATCTTACCTCCCGCGCTTGTTACGGCGTTAGCTGAATGACAAGCGGAAATCATGACCTGGAAGAGAATTAGTTACGTTGCTTTAGGAACCAGTCAGAGATAAGAGACATACCACTAGACCAACAAGGATTTATGAATTTTCCGTCCTGAAAACGACATTAAATACCCGACATATCGCATTTTTAATGACAACCGACCACCGTAAAATGTAGCAGGTATTAATTCATGTTACCTGAGAATCAATTAAAGAGGGGAGACATTTTACCAGACCAGGCCTCTCGCTTGGGAAATTCCCTCTTGTCTTCATTGGGAGCCGATAGATTCAACAAGGCTGGAAGCCGCGTAAATTTCTCGTTTGCCCTAAATGAAATGTTGACGCTTGTGACGGTTTAGAGTTGAGTAACGGTGATATAAGGCGTCCAAGGAAATTCCTAGGCTAGTTATAACGAAGGCTGATAGTATTATAAGGAATTTCTTGTATCTTTATTAAAATTATTTCAAGTATGCTGTTCGAAGAAAGTAAATGAGAGATTTGACGTGACGAAGGCAATAACATTTGAAAGACTTTTAACATCTCCCCCAATCCATCCGTGGCTTCAAAGTACACAATTACATAGAGCTATTTGAATCGAAACAAAAATACCAAGATGAACGAGTTTGTCTTTAAACAGGCCCCATACGAAAGGTCGATTAGTCCTATCTAAATACATAGGAATTGATAAGGTGCTAGCAATGAGAATATGAGAATATCTAGAACCTCTATGACTTTTTGGTTCGGTTTATGCCAGAGGCTTACATGTAAGATATCAGTCAGCTTAGTTGAACATTACTTGTTTCGGCTATTAACCTTGAACACATATACATATATATATACATATATATACGCGCACACACACACACACACAAAAAACAACAGAAAACTGCAATCGTTAGTAAAGATCAGGCTACCTGAGGCAGTTCACATTAATAGTAATCATGTAGTGGTATGGTGTTGTAGGTTGATGGATTGGTAGGACCTTAACATGAAAAGACAGTTATAGAGATTTTCCGCCTCTTGTCTGTCCTGGTAAGAAATATAATTTGTGGCTGAAAATATGTTAAATATCTTCGTGGTACTCTTTAAAATGCTCGGTAAAAGAGGAAACGGTGATTAACCTAGGTTCTTTTCTTCCTTCCACAAAGTTTCCCAAACTCCCCAAAATTCCTTGCTTCATCATACTGGCACATTTATTTTTGAGAAATTTGAGTTTATCCAGTCCTGTGGCATCGATGGATTAAAGCAATTCCCCAAGGGAAAGGGCGATATCGATGCCCATAGCCCCAATATACGTAGCGCACATTTGCGAGACTGACAAAACCCTACAAGCAGGAGCACAAGCACACGAAGTCACGGTAGAGGCACTACCAAGACCATTATATGGGACGAAAGCTCAAAAGCTGTATATTATTCTTTACGGGCCAACCATTCGGATATTTCTGCCTCTTCTTCTTCTTCTTTTTTTTTTTTGATTGAAAGGTTCAAGTCAATTTTGCTTGGAACCAAGCCGCACCGAAATGCAGAAAAATATCCAGAAGCTATTGGACCGTCCAATGGAAGTGTCCGATGACTACCCATAGAGGAGATCTAAAAGCTAGTTAGGATCTTAGGTTTAAGTGGGATCACAGATATGTACTCTAAGTATCCAAACTCAGAATAGGCTACGTGACCCACATCTAACTAATTTCCAACCAGAAAGTCGCACATTTCTGTTGGTTGATGTAAATAAAACCATCATTGAGTAGTCTGTGAGGTCTCTTTTGTCGTTTTGCAAATAGAAATTGTCATCCTTGTTTATGGTCCCCAAATGGTCGATTTCTTTTATTGAACCTGATAGTTAACGTAATCGGTAAGCCACCCGATCATGTAAACCACCCGATCACCCGCTCCCAACTTCTTCAAATATTATCAACGTTCAATTTTGACGCGTCACCATGCCACCAATTCGCAATAAAAACACAAATAATTCAGCTGAGCAAGAGGGACGGATCTTGCTAGCTATTTCCGATTTGAAAAATCAAAAAATTCTAAGTATTTATAAAGCTATATATATTTATAATATACTATATATAACTTTATATGATTGATATTATAATATCTAATTTAAATTAAAAAAATATACTAATAATCATAAATTGACTAAATTTAAAGAGAAATCATTTATTAAATAAATATTAGATCTAGATAAGCGCGGATTACCTTCTTGACCATCTTGTCAAACGGTTCAACAACTCGTCACCAAGATGTGAATCGTAGGTGGATATTCTGTTAGCCGAAGGCAAGAGAGAACGATAACGTAGGCAATCCTTTAGACAAAGTAGAATAAAAGCGAGTACTATCGCAATGATAGGCTTAAAAGGCTGTTGAAGAGTGAATAGTAGTATGCTATTTCTTTGAGAGAATAAAACATGATAGACTAGATATATGATGGTAAATAAGTGTTTCTATATAGTTGTTTATATTGAAGTGTCGCTTTAATATCTAGTAGTACTGCTTTAATATATAGTATTACTACTACTTTCCTTTATAGTGCTGTTATAAGCTTATCCTAACTTACTAAGTACTCTGCTTTACTAAACCTGATTAGATTAGCTTCTGCATATGTCTTTCCTATATAACATTCTATGTAGTGTTATTCAGTGGCTACTGATATAAATAGTATTGATTAGCTATAAGTTATTAATTCTTCTAACAATCCCCTTCTTCTAGGCTGGCGTCCTGACAGCTTAATAAATAGTCGTGCGTTATCTATATTTATAGGTAAGTAACTATCTTTCTTATTTTCCTATACTTATAGTGATAGTTTAATTATATCTTTAAAATTAGATATTTAAAAGTAAAAATATCTTAACTATTTCAAAAAGAATGGTTTTAGAATAGTGTTCTCTTATATTTATTATACTTGTCTTAATAAGTTATATATTAAGTATAATAAATTAGATTGTTATAGCAAGTATATTTATTTAAATATAAAATGTATTAATTTTACTTCTTTATTTTTAGATAAAGAGTAAAAAAAGCTAATTAATACTCAATAAAAGCTTTAAAAAGAGAAGGAGTTAATAATGTCTAAAATTCTTTATCTTTATAAATAACAATGTCTTCTTTAGTATTATGCTAGTAATTTTATATCAAGAGACATAAAAAAGATAGAAAAGTTAGAGCAATTAGAAAAGAAAAAAGAGAAGAAGTGATAATAGAAGGCTAAGTAGTAAAAATTAAACAAGATTATTACTACTACTATTTAAGATTTTCTAGTGTTATCTAGTAATAAATTTAATTATATTCTCTCTAAGTTTCTTTTTAATGAAATACTTGAATTTTTTTAGAGCAATTTAAGTGCTTAATAGATTTCTATAAGTTATATTTAGGTTTATATCTCTTCTAACTGACTAAGTAAAAGATTCTTTTATTTACTAACTTTCTTTTTAAAATTTTATTAATTTTATATTTATCTTTACTTACTTTATTATTATTATTTTCTAGATTTTTAATTAATTCTAATAATAAGATATAAAATACTAAATGCATCTTTATTCTTACTAGTAGTCAGAGTTTATAGTTATTATTAATAAGTTTTTTTTGAATTCTAAAGGATCTATATTTAATTATATTAAGTTTATTACTTAGTCTTTTTATAAAAATATTAAATTTTTTTTGTCTAATAATTTATTATAATAAGTAGACTCTCTCTTTCTTTTTAAGAATTGATATATTTTTATGCTTTTTATTATAATAGATCTTTATTCTATTTTCTAATTACTTAATATCTTTTAATATTATTTAATAAAGTGTCTATAATTTCTTAGCTTTAACTATTATAGTTTTTAATAGTTTTTCTCATAATATTTTAGACTATATCATTCTTAAGTATTATCTAAGATTTATAAAATAAGGAACTTATTTCGTAATAACATTTTCTATATTATTAAGTATAAACTATGCTAATAGTAGTAATTCTATCTAATTATCTTATTCCCAATCAAGATAATATTAAAGATATTATTTAATTATCTAAATTATTCTTTTAGACTGACTATTAGTCTGTTAATAATTAGCAATTAATAGATTATACTATATTCCACATGTTTTGATGATTATCTGTTAATATTTTGAGGTGAATAGCTTGTCTCGGTCCGTGATTATTTCGCTTAATAATCTAGTCCATATAAAGACATATCATATTATTGTCTTTATATATTGTTTGGCTGTTATCTCTCTTAGTATTAGTACTATAATAATATATTTTATAAATTAATCAACTACTATTATTGTGTTAGTATAGGTAATTCCTATAACTAGATCTTTAGACTACGATAGCCTTTAAATAAAGTTAACTATAATACTTCTCTATACTTTATTTAGTACTTCTAATATTTATATTTTTTTAAAGAGTTTATAGTGTGATACTTTATTTTAATTATATTTATCATAGTTTCTGATATAATTTTTAACCCTTTTCCTTATATATAGAAAATAAAATGTTCTTAAGATTATTTTAACTATTCTTTTAATTCCTTGATGTCCTTTCGTTAGTGGATTATGGTATCGTCGAATAACTTCAGTAGTCATTCTTTATGGTACTCTGATTAGTCTATTCCAGACAATCTGTCAAACGGTTCAACAACTCGTCACCAAGATGCGAATCGTAGGTGGATATTCTATTAGCCGAAGGCAAGAGAGAACAGTAATATAGGCAATCCCTTAAACAAAGTAGAGTCGAGGCGAGTACTATCGCTGTGATAGGCTCAAAGGCTGTTGAAGAGTGAATAGTAGTATGCTATTTCCTTGAGAGATATAAAATATGATAGACTAGATACATGATAGTAAATAAGTGTTCTTATATAGTTATTTATATTAAAGTATTACTTTGATATCTAGTAGTATTATTTTGATATATAGTATCGCTACTACTTTTCTTCGTAGCGCTACTACGAGCTTATCCTAACTTACTGAGTGCTCTGCTTTACTAAATCTAATTAGGTTAGCTTCCATATATGTCTTTCTCATATAAACATCCTATATAATATTATTCAGCAGCTGCTAATATAAGTAGTATTGATTAGCTATAAGTTATTAATTTTTCTGATAA